CGCACTTTGCAGGCACTGCTCTTACCGACCCACGGCTTGGTGATCGGCATCCAGCAAGTCTTCGCACCCTCTTTCCAAGAGCACATGCTCACTTCACGTCTCAGGCACATTTTGCTAATTTGTCAGTATTTTAACTTTTTCATTATTATTATTATGTGTGTTATGACAACCGGTGATCTTTGATGCTCCTATTGCAATGGTTTTAGGGTGTCTCAAACTGTGCCCACATGAGGTGGCGGACTAACTGATACATGTCGTGTGTGGATGGCTGCTCCTCCCTCCACCCTGCTGGACTTCCCCATTCCCTGAGACAGACTGACTCCCTCCCTCCCTCCCTCCCTCCCTCCCTCTCTCTCTCTCTGTGTGTATATGTATGTGTGTATACATATTTTGAAACAGAAAATATAATATGCACACACACACATACCCACACACAGATGTATGCGTGCTCAAAACCCTGAGAGGAGGATGGAGGACAAGGGATTGCAGCATGGCCATCCGCCCAGGGTTGATTTCTTACTCCCTCTTGCCGTCTCTCTCTGGCATGAGGGTATGCATCCTATAATAAACTAAAAAAGGTAATAAATAAAAAATAAAAGTAAATAAATCAAAAGCTGGAAATAACTAAGATTAGTAACAAAGAAATGTTGAAAGCCAAGAATGATTCCTTGTGTCAAACATTTTGCCAAGATGTGAAGGCAAAGGAAAAGTTCTTGAAGGGAAGTAGAAAGCACTACTCCAGTGGACACAGGAGTGGTAAGAAACTGGAACAATGCTGATGTGGAGAGAGCATTAGTGGTCTGGAAAAAAGATCAAACCAGCCACAATATTCCCTTCAGTCAAAGCTTAACCCAGAGCAAGGCCCTAGTCCTTTTCAATTCTATGGAGGCTGAAACAGGAGAGGAAGCTGCAGAATACGAGTGTGACGCTGGCAGAGGTCGATCCATGAGGACTGCATAGGCTGTCTCTATACCATCAGGTGTAAGGTGAAGCAGCCAGTGCAGTGTACAAGCTGCAGCAAGCAAGTCACCCAGAAGATGTAGCTAAGAGAACTGTGAAGATAGCTACACTAAACAACAGATTTCCAAAGATCAAACAGCCCAATACTGGCAAAGATGCCACACAGGGCTCTCACAGCTAGAGAGAAATCGGTGGCTGGCTTAAAGGACAGGCTGACTCTTGGTAAGAGTCGATGCAGCTGGGGACTTGAAGTTGACACCAAAGCCCATTGACCATCTCCAAATCCTGGGGCCCTTAATAATATGCTAAATTTACTCTGCCTGTGCTCTCTAAATTGAACAACAAAATCTGGATGACGACACATCTGTTTACAGCATGGTTTACTGAATATCTCTGGCCTACTGTCGAACCTACTGCAAAACAAACAAACAAACAAAACCCATAACACTTTTAAAATATAAATTATTGCTTACTGGCAATGTCCCTGGTCACCCAAGAACTCTAATACAGACCTACAGGAGATGAATGCTGCTTGCTAACAACCATTCTGTAGCTTATGAATTAAGGAGTAATTTCAACTCTCAAGTCTTATTATTTAAGGAAGAACGTTTTGTAAAAGTATAGCTGCTATTAATAGTGATTGTTCTGATGGATCTGGACAAAGTGAATTGAAAGTCTTTTTGAAGATGCCATTAAATATTCATGATTCTGGGAGGAGGCCAAAACATGAACATTAACAAGAGTTTGAAAGAAGTTGATTTCACTCCTCTGGGATGTCTTTGAGCAGGTTTCAAGATTTCAGAAGAGGAAATAACAACAGATGTGGTGGAAATAGTAAGAGAATTACGATTAGTAATAGAGCCTAAAGATGTGAATGAAGTACTACAATCTTGTGATAATACTTTAATGGATGAGGACTCACTCCTCCTGGATGAGGAAAGTGGTCTCTTGAAAAGAATCAACTTCTGGAAAAGATGCTGTGAACATTATTCAAAAGAAAACAAAGACCTCAGGATATTGCATAAATAAACACTGTTGATAAAGTGGTGGGGTCGGAGGGGACTGACTAGTTTTGAAAGAAGCTCCTCCATGGGTAAAGTGCTAGTAAGTAGCATTGCATTCTGCAGAGAAAGCATTCATGAAAGGAAAAGTTCATTTCTCTGTTGTCTTATTATACGAGACTACCACAGTCACCCCAACCCACAGCAACCACCACTCTGCTTGGCCAGCAGCTATCAACAGTGAGACAGTATCTGCAACCAGTGAAAAAATTACACCGCAATGAGCTCAGATGGTTGGACAGCACGTTTTTATCAATAGCTTTTAAAATTAAGGTATATACTGGGGACCAGCAGTTGGTGTAATGGCTATGTCGCTGGGCTCCCATGTAGTTGACCGTGGTTCGTCCTGGAACTGGTGGCTTAAACTCATGTCAGGCGCGTAAGTTTGTGTGCCCAAGATCCTGAGAGGAGAATGGAGAAGGGATTGCGGTGTTGCCATCCCCCCGGGGTGTGATTTCTCGTTTTCTGTCTCCCTGTCTCTGTCTTTCTGGCGAGTGCATGCACCCTATAGCAAACACCTCTTTTTTTAAAAAAAAATTAAGGTATATACATTTTTAAAAGATAAAATTTTTTATAGTTACAATGGCATTGCACACTAAACAGTATGGTGTAAATCTAACTTCTAAATGCACTGGAAAATCACATACTTTTCTTTCTTTTCTTTAGGATGGAATCATAAAATCAGAAAGTTGGGTCAATAGGTACATGTCTTTTTATTTTTCAAACTTACTGAATTACAGCAAACAGAATACTGCCGAATTACACGTGTATATTCTGACAGATTTTCACAAAGTGAACCACTCACATAACCACTATCCAGATGAAGAACAAGATTTCCAGAATGCCAGAAGCCCTCTGTGTTTTTCCTGTCACTAGCTACTCACTTTCTCTCAAAGATAACAATGAACTAATCCTAATGTCAAGTAAGTTTTGACAGCTTTAAGCTTCATACAGAACTGTATAGTATATATTACCTCGTACCAGGCTTCTTTTACTTAACATGGTTTTTGAGACTTGTTCATTATTATACAGCAGTCCACTGAATGAACAGACAGTGTATTCTTCCCGCTGCTGATGGACATTTGGGCAGTACCCAGTTTTATAAATAATCCTGATGTGACGATCGTTACACATGTCTTTAGGTACACTTTGAATGCAATTCTATGGGGTATAAACCTATGATTCAAACTGCTGGGTCAAAGGTTTTGAGAACTTTTGCACTAGTTCATATTGCCAAGTGGTCTGCCAAGTGAATCAGTTTTATTTCCACAAGAGCATTCCAGCGCTCTGCATTCTTGCCAACACTTGTTACTGTCTTCATTTATGAAGTTCCTTTTCATACCTTTGGCACCTTTCTCTACTTGATTTTCCATGTTTTCTTATCGATGTTCACACACACACGTGTGTGTGTGCATATACATGTATGTATTCATATAGACTGGCTAAATCCTTTGTCAGTTATATAAATTACAAATATTTTCCAATAGTCTTTTTCTTGACTTTTCATTCATTTAATGGTTCTTTGGATGAACAGAAGTCCTTTATTTTAACATAGCCTAAATTTCTTCATCTATTCCTTTGGGTTGGTGCTCTTTTATGTCCTATTTGAGAACATTTTATGTCTCAGTCTTGAACATGCTATGCTACCCTCTTGAAGCTTCATTAAATCAGTAATTCATATGCAACTGGCTTTGTATAATGATCAAGATTCATTTCCCACCCATACAGAGCCAACTGATCTAGCAGTATTTACTGAGAAACACCCTTCCCCCACCCTCAACTTCTTGTCAATACCCCCTCTGTCATATATCACCTCTATCCATAGATGCATGGATTTGTTTCTGAACGTTCTAAACTGATCTACTCCTGTGTCTTTTTGCACTGTCTTAATTACATAATTCTTGGAACAGTGTCTCAATATCTTTAAGTCTTCTACCTTTGGCTGTCCTTCAAACTTATTTTAGTTATTCCTGGCTCCTTCATTTCCCTCTATCTCCATCTCTAGGACTGAAAAGCCAAAACAAACCTGCCAGAATTTGATTATGATTATACTGAATCCACAGATCAATCTGGCTAAAACCAGTATCTTTACAATATTCACTCTTCAATCAATGAACATGGTTTGTCTCCCCAATTATTTAGGCCTATCTTTGCTTGACAATACCTTATAATTCTCTATATGCTAGGATTAACATCTTTCTTTTTTTCTTCTTCTTTTTGGAGAGGTTTTTGCTACAGGGTGCGTGCGCTCGCCAGACAGACAGAGAGAGACATAGAGACAGAAAGCGAGAAATCACCCCCAAGGGGGGGATGGACACGCCACAATCCCTTCTCCTCTTGGGATCTTGGGCACGCACGCACACGCGCCCGGCATGAGTTCTAAGCCACCGGGTCCGGGACTACGTGGGAGTCCAGCGACATAGCCACACCCTTCCCCCACCCTCAACTTCTTGTCAATACCCCCTCTGTCATATATCACCTCTATCCATAGATGCATGGATTTGTTTCTGAACGTTCTAAACTGATCTACTCCTGTGTCTTTTTGCACTGTCTTAATTACATAATTCTTGGA